CCAGGTGATTATCTTTGAGCAGTGGTATAATGGACATGGCTTTAACTTTTTCTTTGTATTTTTCCCCATATTTTTGCATCTGAACCATATCTGCAACTAGGAAAAAAAAAATGACCAAATGTACCTTTTCACAGAGGCTTATTTTGCCGATTCCAATCTGAGCATCCAGCTAAAGATAATCAAGGCTTAAAGGCTGATTGTTGGACAGTTTAGATATAATCAAGTCAAAATGTCAACAGACACCATGACTGCTGCTTCCAGATACCACTACCCTTGCCCTAAACACACTCAGGAAGGTGGGTCCCAGGGAGAGAGAATTTGGAGCTTCCTACTTCTGTTTGCCAGCTTCTCTGGGGTCCCGGGCTTCACAGGTGGCTCAGTGGTAAAGAATCTGCCTGCCGATGTATAAGACACAGGAGACACAGGTTCGATCCTTGGTCCAGGAAGATCCCCTGAAGTAGGAAATGGTAACCCACTCCAGTATTCCTGTCTGGGAAATCCCATGCACAGAGGAGCCTGGCGGGCCACAGTCTATGGAGTTGCAAAGAGTCAGACAGGACTTAGCAACTGAGCACGCATGCACTGGGGCCCTACTTCTGACCCGGATCCCGGACATTGGTTTCTTGCTTGTTTGTTTTTTTAATTTTTTATTTAACTGCACCAGGTCTTCATTGCAGCATGTGGGATCTAGTTCCCTGACCAGAGATCAAACCTGGACACCCTGCATTGGCAGTACAGAGTCTCAGCTGCTCAACCACCAGAGAAATCCCAGTTTGTTTGTAAAGCTTATCTAACTGACTATAATGGATAGCCATAATTGGAAATCAAAGGTTCTATTCCACTCGACTCATTTTGAGGATGGGACAACAGAGGCCTAGAGAAGTTCAAAATGACATGGGCACAGAGCTAGACCCTGGTCCTTTGCACTTTAGCAAGCCAATAAAATTAAGGGTGGGGTTTTATAGATTGACAGTCTTGGAGGACCCTAAAAGTTTTAAGAGGAAAATGCGGAGTGTAAAGACTTCTAAAAATGGGTAACCCACTTATCAAATAGTATTTATTGAGCACAGTGCAATTTGGAAACATTAACTAAAGTCTCATGTAAATGGGAAAGGCACTACAAAATCTAACTTGATGCAACTGTATTGAGCAAGCAAAGAGGACAGAAATCAAAATACCATTGTATTCAAGGTTGGCCTTCCTCCAGAATAAACAAACATAATTCTGTCCAGGCCTTTATCCCCCACTTAGCTGGGTCCAAAGACCCCTGCCTTCTGCTCCTGGCGACTTCCAAGAATGTCCTCTGGTTACCCTTGCAAACCAGTTACCTTTACAAACCAAGAGCAATAGCTCCTCTTTCCATTAAGTCTCCACCCTGCCCGAGAACAGTCCCAACACCTCACAGCTCCTCCATGAGGCAGACAGAATAAAGCCTCGAGCTGTTTTCCCAGGAAGGTGCACATGGAGAAAGAAGTTTAAACTTAAGTCACGGATCTGACTGTGTAATATCAGGAAAGTCCTCAACAAAGCATTTAACTCTTTAGGACTCAAACTTTTTCTGTCTGTGACATGTAGGCCTACTGGGAAATCTATGAAGTCCAGTCTAATTTATACCATGATAGCTTTGTGCAAGTTCAGCCCAGCCTGGTTTGTAAATGATGTAGTTAATCTTTAAGCTAGCAGTGTGTGGTGTTACAAGAATGTGTAAAGGAAGCCCTTCTTCTGTCATTTTCCTACTTCTCCCTGCTTTATAAGCACTACAAGAAATACAGAAAATATGGAAGGTAAGAAAAAATTAGACTTGTTACTATCTGAAGTCACTCTGGGGCTTCCTAGATGGCTCAGGGGTAAAGAATCAGCCAGCTGCAGGTTTGATCCCTAGATTGGGAAGATTCCCTGGAGGTGGGAATGGCAAGCCACTGCAGTATTCTTGCCTAGGAAATCCCATGGACAGAGGAACCTAGAAGGCTCCATACAATCCATGGGGTCGCAAAGGGGCAGACACAACATAGCAACTGAACAGCAACAAAGCCATTCAGGGAAGAAAACAACTTCTCTGTTGTCTGATACATCTTAAATCAATACCCTGGTGCTGCCTGGCCTCTAGAGTATGTGGAAAATTTTGATTTCAATATTTACACTTCGGTTTTTAAAAATCTTCAGTTTCTTATCTTGAATGTTGAACACTCTCTTTGTCATGACATAGGGCTTCCCTGGTGGCTCAGAGGTTAAAACGTCTGCCTGCAATGCAGGAGACCTGGGTTCGATCCCTGAGTCGGGAAGATCCCCTGGAGAAGGAAATGGCAACCCACTCCAGTATTCTTGCCTGGAGAATCCCATGGAGGGAGGAGCCTGGTGAGCTACAGTCCTCGGGGTCGCAAAGAGTCGGACACGACTGAGTGATTTCACTTCACTTCACTTGTCATGATACAGCGAGTGAAGAATGTTGGATGGGAGGGGGAAACCCTACCATTTGGTTCACTGAGTGCCCAAGCAGCAAGAAGATACTTCTCTGCAAAAAAAACCTGCTTGTTTAGCTTTTAAAGGGCAATTTTATATTGCAATCTGCACTCACTCATTTATAAAATTCACTGAGCTCCCAGGCACCAGGCCATGAGGAGCAAATAATGAGCACCATAGACAAGTTTCCTGCATTCTTAGAGCTTATCATCCCCTGGAAGAGGTTAGCAATAATCAGATAGCCACAAAGTGGTACGCTTATACTACGTGATAAAGGCTGTGATGAAAACTGGCAAGAAGCAAAGAGAACACATAAAGAGAGGAGGGAGATTGGAGAGTGAGTGAAAGTGTCTCCTGAGGACTGACCTTTGAAACTGAAGGATGAGTGGGCCTTTACTCAGAGGATGGACAGGCAATTGACAAGCCACAAGCCAGGCAGAGGCCAAGGGGAAGAGTAGCTAATTGGAGAGACATTTTGTCCACTGTCCCTTTAAGGTCCTATCAATCATCTGGGGCAAGTATGCAATCATCTTGCTTTAGGAACTCTACCTGTACTTGCAAAATATGAATCTTCCCAAGTCACTTGATACCAACCCACCTTTAAAAACATTATCACATTATTTATCAAGTGCTCTCATTTTTTGCCCATTGAATGTGGGTATTTATCATGAATTTTTAACCCTCTTACATGATCTATAGTGAGTGGGGTCCTGTGTAGGATGAAAGGGGATTGGAGATCTAAGTATACATACAGCTGACTCTCTCTGCAGTACAGCAGAAACTAACACAACATTGTAAAGCAATTTTACTCCAATAAAAAATTGTTTTAAAAAAGGAAAGAAAGGGGATGATCTTTTCATATCCTTCACTGAAAGGAGCAAGATAACACCTTTCTACAAGGAAACCTGCTCCTCTTGCTTTTAAAGGGCAGGAGGCTCCTTTTCCAGATCTGGAAGTTATATGACTGAAGGGAATGTTTGAAAGAGTCTGAAAAATACTAGTGGAAAACTGTGCTCTTCTTCAGCTCCCTGGACTAAGGAAACAGTAGATGCTAGAGGAGCGAACAACAGGGAGCAGCCCATGCATCTACCTGTGGATATAAACTCTGTCCCCAGAAAATGCCAGACAGCGTTTCAGGAATGAGACAGGTTCTTAATCCCTCCTCTCTGCACCATTTTAAAGAGAAAGCAAGAGGAAAGGGGCAGGGGCTCTCAAACGTCTCTAAAAGTTTCTGAGTGTCCTGTGGGATGGAGGAGGAAACACAAAAGGAGAAAAGAAAATATCATGGAGGAAGATTTCTCTGGAGTGGAACCCACAGCCCACCCCCACCCTCTAACTAAATCCTGCCATTTAATGCCCACAGTATTCCATTCCCCCTGAAAGCCAGGTTCTTCATAATTCCTCAGTTACTATTAGATCTAGAAATCTACACATAAATACATGCCACCTTCCTGTCATCAAAACTTCCAGGAAGAAAAAAATACCTGGTTTCCTCCTCCACCACCAAGACCACCACCCCCATCGAAGAGTTGTAATACGTTGTTTCCCTGTTCCTCCGTCACGCTTTCCACCCCCCCACCCCCCCTGGGGGGAGGGCACAGACGCAGTCCGGGCGCAAGGTGTCTCACTGCCGCCGTGAGTCCTCCCTCCCAGAGGGTAGCCCTGCGCCCTGGCACGTTGGCATCTGCAGCCTGTCTCGTCTCTCCCGCCTGGAGTCCTTGTGCACTGCGACGATGCGCTGGCTTCCCAAAGCCGCAGTGGATTGTATAACCACACGGTGCCCGCCTGGAGGACAGCGCAGTGAGCCTCCCTCCTGACAGCATCTGTCCAGAGTCACTGGTGTCAGCTAAAAAGAGACCCACCAGGCCGGCGGGACCCGAAGACTCTAGGGGAGGGGGGGCAGCGAAGCGCGCGGTCTGGACAACAGCACTGTTGGTAGGCGGTGGGGTTGGTAAATCTCTCCAGCAGCAGTATTTAAACCCGAAATTCTGTCTGGAGAGCCGGCGGTGAAGGACGGTGAGGAGCAAGCGGAGTCCTACTGCACCAGCTTAGTGTGGATCAAACAAAGGGGTATGGCGCGGAAACTCAGAATAAGGGAGGGGGGAGTTGTCGGAATTTCTCCCCAGCGAGGCCTCTCGCGAAAATGACAATGACATATCCGCTCCTCTTTTCAATTATGTAACTCTCATACATTTGGAAGAATATACATGAACATATACTTAGGACGGCAGAAAAGCTCTAAATAGAGTCTTCAAAAAAAAAAAAAAAAACAACTCTAAATAGCTTTAGCTCAGGGTGCATCTGAAGTCTTAACAGAGTCTGGTTGTCACCTGGCCGCGTTAGAGGGTGTCATCCTAGGGGTGGGACCCACCGCGCGGACAGCCGGGTCACCGCCGGGGACGCGGCCCTCTCGGCTCGGCAAGGATCGCCGCAAGCCCCTCGCCGCGTCGCGGGGTCGGCTGGACCTACCAGTCCGCAGGCTGCAGAGCGATCTGCCCCCTTCACCTCCCCCACCCCGCGAACACCTGGCCCGCGGTTACCTGCGGGGCCGCCAGTCTCCGCAGCCCATTGGCCGGCTCCCCGGCGCCCTTGCCTTTGGCGGCGGGGAGATGCCCGAGCCCCGGCGTCAGCGCCTCGCCGTCCGCGGGGCCCGCGCCGTTCTCGCTGGGGCCTTCATCCGGCGCGGGGAAGAGCCCGCAGCGGCGCTGGAAGCGGGCGACGAGCTGGGAATCCTGCAGGCTCCAGAGCAGCTCGGCCATGGTGCTCCCGGAGCGCCGCCGCCGCCCGGTGCCCTCTGCTCGCGCCTTCCCTCCCGCCCTCGCCCGCGCCGGGCTGGGCGCTCGGGGTGGCTGGCGGGCGGGCGGGGCCCGGGGCGCCAGCCAACAGGTGCGCCGCTCGGGTCCTAGCGCCCGCCCCCCGCGCGAGGACGCCCAGGTGTTCGCCTCCACCTTGCGCAGGGCACGTCCGCGATCCTTTCCTTCCGGCGGGCCCGGGCGGACTCGGGTGATCTCTGGCGGCCGGCAGGCTCGGAACTGGGCGAAAAGGTACAGGTGTCCCCATCCCTGTCGGCTGGTGCATAAGTGCCACCTAATGGGGAGCGGCCGCGCACGTGTGGATCTGCCTGAGTCCACTTGGCGCGCACCGGCCGATCGCTTAGGGACCTTCCTGTTCACTGTTGAGCTCAAAGGGAGGTCAGATTTTCCATCCCCCCGACTCCCCGCATCCAGCCTGTAGTCTCTGCCTTTGCCCACTTCCGGCAGGGAGCGGGAGCCCCGCTAGAGAACAGTTTTTGAGTTCTTGCCAAACTCTACGTGATGTCGCGTCTCCCCACAGCCCCAAACTTCTGCGACATTGCTCAAGAACCAACCGAGTGGGTTTCAAGTGGATTCGAGTCATCCTCTGCCTCCCTGCCCTTGCCCTTGTGATTTGACAACTGGGGAACACCTAGATACTTGGAGAGGAACGCTGATTCTTTCTTTCTTGGTGTTCCGCATTAAGAAAGATGGTGCTTGCCCCTCCCCACGACTTTTTTTTTTTTCCACTCTGCCTTTAGACACTGGAGACCCAAAGAGAACAAGGTGTTGAAGGATCTGGAGGAGGAGTTGACTTCTTCCTGCACCAGCGCGGGCTTTAGATATCTCAGCAGAAGAGCAAAGAAACCATCCTGCCTGTCGACCTTGGTTTTGCCTCCTCCCTCCTGAATCCTCTAGGGACACTACACTTCCTCACAGAGAAAGGCAACAGTCAAATTAGGCCCAGCTGACCAGCCTGCAAGGAAAGTGCAATTCAATCCTTCTGTCTTCAGTCTGCAGCTCAAGGCTGGGGTTTCCTGGTAGCCCCCGTGTAAAGCTGCTAAGTGTTTGGTTGCACATATGACTCGGGGGGCACACCTGCACATCACCGACCTTGTTTATCCAGTTGTCAGTTCAGGCCAGGAAGTCTTTCGGATGTAGCCTTCAAGGATGACGTGTTCTCCCTTGTGTCTGCGTTTCTGCTCTTCTTCCCAGCCCTGTCTGGCAAGCAAGATCAAGGTGGCTGAAAGAGCAATAAAATTCTTGGCAAATAGCCGTTTTCTACTTAATTTACAGAAGAGGCACAGAGCTGCTGGCCCAATCAGGCTGTGTCACACAAAGAGATGTTCAGTCCTAGAAGCAGAAGGCTCCTCTTTCCTCTGCTGTGGTCCTTTACGGCCATTGGGACCAAATCCTGTGGAGTTTTCTCTTTATTTTTGTTGCTGAGCATGGGCTTTCTCGAGTTGTGATGGATGAATGGGGCTACTCTCTAGTTGTGGTGCCTGGGCTTCTCATTGCAGTGGATTCTCTTATTGCAGAGCATGGGCTGTAGATGTGAGGGCTCAGTAGTTGTGGCACATGGGATTTATTTGCTCCCCAGCATGTGGAATCTTCTGGGACCAGGGATCGAACCTGTGTCCCCGGCATTGGCAGGCGGATTCTTAACCACTGGACCACCGGGGAAATCCTGTGGTTCTGTTTTTAAAGTAGGAATTGTGGCTTAGGATCTTTTCTTATTATATGATAAAGAAATATGCTTCCCCATGAAGACACTTAAGTGATGTAGCTCCCAAATTTGATGTTGTGATTTCCCTTTCTCCCAAATAGTAAAGAGTCAAAGCCAAACATGGCATATGGAGCACAAGGCAAAAAAAAATACATATTCAGACAAGTCATTTTTATCCCCTTGGGGACCAGGTACTAACTCCAGCTTCCAGCGGCTTGTGACATCACTGTGGGCCTCCGTTGCCTTCCCTGATGAAATGACATTCCTCGCTTCTTGTGTGTGGCAGTCCTTGTCTTGAGGTAGCATCACACCATCTCCTTCTTTGTCGTCACGGAGCATTCTCCCTGTGACTCTCTGTGCTCACATTTCCCTCTTCTTATAGGGACACCAGTCCCAGTCTTTGGATTAGGGTCTATTCTAAACCAGTCTGGCCTCATCCTAACATGATTGCATCTGCAAAGATCACATTTGCTCCACATTCACAGGTTCTGGGTGCATGTGAATGTGGAGCAAATGCTATTCAACCCAGTTAAGTATCGGGTTGGCCAAAAAAGTTCCTTTGGGTTTTTCCCATGAGATGTTATAGAAAAATATAAGTGTGTTACAAGTTATAAGCTTTTTGGCCAACCCAGTTCTTACTCTGTGCCAGGCATGTGCTGAGTAAGTTCACACCATAACTAATATAATCACATTTTATCCTCCCAGTAACCCTCTGAAGTAGCCACTCATCCTTCATGTATTTGACAATTATGCATGTACTAATGTCAGACACTATTCTAGGACTGGGAATGCATCAGTTAAAAAAACCAGAGCTCCTAGATCATGAAACTTATATTTCAGTAGTGTTAGTTATTCAGTTGTGTCTGACTTTTTGCGACCCCATGGATTGTAGCCCACCAGGCTCCTCTATCCATGGGGATTCTTCAGGCAAGAACACTGGAGTGGGTAGCCATGGCCTCCTCCAGTGGAAGCTTCCTGACCCAGGGATTGAACCTGGGTCTCCTGCATTGCAGGCAGATCCTTTACCATCTGAGCCACCAGGGACAGCTTTTTTTTTTTTTTTAAATCAAATAAATCTGTACTTTTAGTGAGCGACAAATGCCATGGAGAAGAGTAAGGTGGTTGGGGCAGGAGGAGGATGTGCACGGTAAGATGGTCACCTCCAAGAAGGGGATATTAGTGCAGAGACCTGGAAGAAGAGGAGCCCACTTGATCCAGATCAGGAGAAACAGCAGTCCAGATAGAGGACACTGCACTTGTAAAGGCCTTGAGGCCACCAAAGCTTGGAGTATTGAATGAACCACTGGGAAAGGAACCACCTGATAGTGTTGTAGGAAGGGGGAGGCGCCCCGTTAGGGCCCCAAGAGTGGGCTCTTGTCTAACACTCAGAAAAGAATTGTCCGAGGAGACATGTGCTGACAAAGCAAGAAATTTTATTGGGAAAGGGCGCCGGATGGAGAGCAGTGGGGTGAGGGAACCCAGGAGAACTGCTCTGCCGCATGGCTCACAGGCTCGGGTTTTATGGTGATGGGATTAGTTTCCGGGTGGTCTTTGGCCAATCATTCTAATTCAGAGTCTTTCCTGGTGGTGCACACATCACTCAGCCAAGATGGATGCTAGCAAGAGGGATTCTGGGAAGTGGACAGACATGTGGTGTCTCCTTTTGACCTTTCCCAAACTCTTCTGGTTGGTGGTGGCTTATTAGTTCCGTATTCCTTACCAGGATCTCCTGTCATAAAACAGCTCATGCAAATGGTTACTAAAGGGCCTGGCCAGGGTGGGTGGTTTCAGTCACTGTGCTTCCCCTAACAGTAGGAGAGGCTTGAGTACAAGGATTGTCTTAGGAGAGGTGGGGCCTAGTAGGACTAGTCCAGTTCAGTCACTCAGTTGTGTCCAACTCTTTGCGACCCCATGAATCGCAGCACACCAGGCCTCCCTGTCCATCACCAACTCCTGGAGTTTACTCAAACTCATGTCCACTGAGTTGGTGATGCCATCCAGCCATCTCATCCTCTATCGTCCCCTTCTCTCCTGCCCCCAATCCCTATTAGCATCAGGGTCTTTTCCAGTGAGTCAACTCTTCGCATCAGATGGCCAAAGTATTGGAGTTTCAGCTTCAGCATCAGTCCTTCCAATAAACACCCAGGACTGATCTCCTTGAGGATGGACTGGTTGAATCTCCTTGCAGTCGAAGGGACTCTCAAGAGTCTTCTCCAACACCACAGTTCAAAAGCATCAATTATTCAGCGCTCAGCTTTCTTCACAGTCCAACTCTCACATTGATACATGACCACTGGAAAAACCATAGCCTTGACTAGACAGACCTTTGTTGGCAAAGTAATGCTTTTTAATATGCTATCTAGGTTGGTCATAACTTTCCTTCCAAGGAGTAAGCGTCTTTTAATTTCATAGCTGCAATCACCATCTGCAGTGATTTTGGAGTCCAAAAAAATAAAGTCTGACACTGTTTCCACTGTTTCCCCATCTATTTCCCATGAAGTAGGACCATTTAGACTATAATAAATACTAAAGAGTTAGGGGCTTCCCTCATAGTTGAGTCAGTAAAGAATCTGCCTGCAGTGCAGAAGACCTGGGTTCAATTACTGGGTCAGGAAGATCCCCTGGAGAAGGAAATGGGAACTCACTCTGGTATTCTTGCCTAGAGAATCCAATGGACAGAGGAGCCTGGCAGGCTACAGTCTATGGGGTCACAAGAATTAGACATGACTTAGCGACTAAACCACCACCAAATTGTAAAGTGAAAGTGTTAGTCACTTTCACTTTGTGTCCAACTCTTTGCAACCCCATGGATTGTAACCCACTGGGCTCCTCTTTCCATGGAATTCTCTAGGCAAGAATACTGGAGTGGGTTGCCGTATACTCCCACTTTACAGATGAGAAAACTGAGGCTCAGAGATGAGAAACCTAACCAAACCACACAACTAAGTGCCAGAAGGAAAATTCCACTCAGGTTTTACTGACTCTGTTACTAAACCACATTTTATTCCTGGAATTTATCTTCACTCTACTTTTGTATTGAAAAGTGTTCCCAGTGTGTAGTGAGAGCTCAATAAACACTTTGGGAATGTTTTTCTAAACTAAGAGTACACCTCACAATTTTTTAGAGCTTTTGGACTCATTTGTAGATTTTTGCATGTGAATTCTACAACCCTCAGAGACCAGTGGTTTTGAAACTGGAAAGAAGTGGGGGGGCAGGGTAGGGTACAACTTTCTAAAGAAT